ATCATCATAAATAGACCAGGACACCAAAGGAAGAAGTGATGGAGAGCAACATGTTAAATCAATATGTGAAAAAGTATGATGAGTTGAGAAGTGCGTTGGTTTTCCATCATTTGAAACGCAAAGGTTGCTTTGAAAAAAGGCCTTTTCTAAAACAGTACCGCGAGTGTTGTTCACTGTTGAGCCCCAGATGGTATTCCAGCTGTTGAAATCGCCGCATATAATTAATGGGGGGGAAAGTACGGAGAATAAACTGTAGAGTTCTTGCTGAGAAAACGATTGCGAAGGTGGAATATAGAGCGAAAGCACTGTAAATTTTATATTTAACATTATTTGTATCGCTACGGCTTGTATATTTGAGCTTAAATTTATGCGTTCGTGAGGTATACTTGATTTTATAAAAACACCTACTCCTTGTTTGGAATATGAGTTTTGATCAGCATTCGTGAAGTATCCAGTATATGATTTGGGTGGAATAGGATTAAAAGAGCTTCTACAATGGGTTTCTTGAAGCGATAAAAAGGTTGGATTAAAATCATTTATGAGTGTACGGAGTTCATCAAAATTATTAATAAGTCCCTTAATGTTCCATTGTAGAATTTTAAAAACTTTATTTAATTGTAATGACATGTAAGCAGAGTGGAGGGAGGGTTAAGTTGACATGTCAGCGTCTCCGTCGAGAAGGTCGCTATAGGAATTTTTCGTGAATGATTTATTCTTACCAGCAGAATAATCTGTATTTAGGTGATTTGGTACATTTGAAGCGCAACGGGTTGGCGCACGTGAATAATTTGAAATTGAAGGTTGATTAATGGATGAAAGAATGGATTCATTAACACTTGTGATTTGTTGAGTAAAGTTGAGAGCTGGAGATTCTGGAGAATTTGGTATATTAGATTTTAGCAAATGTGTTGTTGTTTTAATTTTGATTGATGGATGAAAGAATGGATTCATTACGACTTGTGATATGTTGAGTAAAGTTGAGAGCTGGATATTCTGGAGAATTTGGTATATTAGATTTTAGCATATGTGTTGTTGTTTTGATATTTTCAATATTTGCAGTTGCTTTGGCTTTTTAAATATTATCTTTGACAAGTGATGTAACTGGTTTCGCAATATAATTTTTGGTTAGTGGTAGAACAGGTTTTTCATTGGAAGCAGTTGCAGTTAAAGTCTTACTAGGCTCGATTTGCGAGGCAACAGCAGCATAGGTATTACTTTTGCCAATTCCATGGGCTACAGATGGATTTCTTTCCCGGTATGCGCGTCGCGTAATTTTCTGTTTTGATTTTTAATATTTCACGCATCTGTACAAAACGTGGGCATTGTTTGTCTAATGCTGAGTGTTGATCATTGCAATTTATGCAGAAACTACGGGTACAGCTTTCAGTATGTGGAGGATGACCACAGTTAGCACAAGATGCAGCATTAGTGCATCTTTTTGCCGTATGACCCAGGCGTTGGCAATTTTTACACCTCATAGGATTTGGGATGTATAGTTCTATTTTACATTTATACCACGCCACATCAACTGTTCGCGGTAATCGATAGCGATAAAAAGTTAAAATAATCCTTCCTGTAGGAGAGCGTGTTTTTCCGTCATCATTCAGCTTGGTTAATTTATATACTTCAGTCACTCCTTGAATGCCCACATGCTTTAAGCAAGGGGCATAAATTACGCCTCGAACTGAGTTAAGTTTCTAATGTAGTTTAGCTGAAATAGCACATAGATTAGCTAAAGATTTTGTCTTTATGAGTTTTTCGGTTGCGCGCGGGTTCCCAGCGAGGACCAGTAAATTCCCATCGCGTAGAATCGAGGTGGAGTCGATGTATGTTGTAATGCTATCTAGAGTTTTTTTTATAGCGAAAGGGCTAATTTGGGAAATTGTTATTCGAGCATCGGTTGAAGAAATAACAATATATTTTTTATCAATAGGGGTTATATCGCTGATCGGCAACACCGGAAAATCTGAATTTTTACTTTTTTTTCTTTGGGGGGATGTATCACTTAATAGATAAAATCTATTCGAATTTTTGTCTGGCGGCCTCGGGGCCATTATGCCTTATTGTTGTCTATTGCTTATTATTTGTGAAATAACCACTCACTTGAAAAGGTTTGGGAACTGTGGAAGAAGGTTGGGAACTACTGAAGAAAAGTGTCAAATGTTTTCAATTTTTTTTTTTATTTTGTTTTTTTGTTTTCTATTTTTTATTATATATAGACGAAACAAAAGCACATACGCGATATCCGCGTTAACCAGTTTTAGCAATAACACTGAAAAGACAGAAGTTAAATACACAAAAACACCGAAAACACCGAAACAATTGAAAAAACGCAGACGAAAAGAAAACACGCACTACACTGAACACAAGTCGACTCGTCACGAATTTTTTTTTTCAACTGGGTGTAAGCTATAAATATTAAGGTTGTTCAGATTATTTATTACCAATTTTGAAGAAATTTTTCAAAAACAAAATTTTGTTTTTTGGTAATGATATCCATTTGACATTTAAATGAAAATTTTGAAAAGTGAAAAAACTTTTTGATATTAATGACGCCAATTATCGAATGCTACTGTTAACCACCGGTTTAACATAATTAAACAATTACAGAATAAACATTGAACACCTAAACAATGCTTGTATGTATGATAAGGGAAAAGCATGTACTTCAGGGTACGATAAATATCTTAAATGTAAGTTTTCATATGCCGCATCTACTAAAGGAATTGAATAATTAAATGAAAAATATCTTTCAGCCATGGTATGATAAGATGTAATAAGTAAGAAATGGTCAATCAGTTTTTATAGGCGTGGCATTCGATTTTCCCCTATTTATAAAAATTGGCCAGATACGAGAATAAGCGTATAAAAATTGGCCAGATACGAGAATAAGCGTATTATATTCTCAATAATGCGAAAAATGTGAGAATAAGCGTCTGAATTTTTTTACATTTGTTGAATAATTGTTCAAGTATTTGTATAAAAATTGGCCATGTACGAGAATAAGCGTATAAAATTCGGCCTGATACCAGAATAAGCGTATAAAAATTGGCCAGATATGAGAATAAGCGTATATATTTATTTTCAATTTATAAACATTTAAATGTGTCTTTGAAAGATATACAATTTTTCTTTGTTAAATTACATTTTATAACTAAGCAGAGAAAATTTCACATAAAAATATGAAATTTAAATAATGTTAGGAAATACACATATATTAAACACAACAGCACGTCTTACATTATATAAATCAAAAAACTAAAAACAAATTAACTGGTCTTCCTGATTATCTTTAGGATCTTTAAAATCTGTCGGACAGATTCAATTTCATAGGAACTTATTTTTGACTATAAGTACTTATCATTTTCAGTTTTATACGCTTATTCTCGTATCTGGCCAATTTTTATATGCTTATTCTCGTACATGGCCAATTTTTAAACAAATACTTGAACAATTATTCAACAAATGTAAACAAATTCAGACGCTTATTCTCACATTTTTCGAATTATTGAGAATATAATACGCTTATTCTCGTATCTGGCCAATTTTTATAAATAGGAGAAAATCGAATGCCACGCCTATAAAAACCGATTGACCATTTCTTACTTATTACATCTTATCATACCATGGCTGAAAGATAATTTTCATTTAATTATTCAATTCCTTTAGTAGATGCGGCATATGAAAACTTACATTAGTAAAAGTTAAAATGGACATTTATACTCGGGAATACTTTCGCCCAGCAAACCAGCTAGCGACTTTTCAATTCAATTATGCGCTTTTTAGTTTTATGATTTTATGACAAATATCTTTCACTTGTTGGGAGAATTCGTCACGTCTTTCACGTCTTCCATTAAGTACATTCCTAAGACTTTAATAAAGCCTCTTCATTTAATTTTTGAAAAAATTTTAAATATTAAAAAAAAAAACCATGTTTACATCATTATTATCTATGTGTGCAATTTGTTTTGTTGTTTTTATCAGTCTAATATTTTTCCATTACGATGTTATAAGCAACCGTCAATCAATCCAAGCAATGCATATGGAATAATGAAAATAATAGCAATAAGAAAAGAATATAACCATTGTAGCATCCCAAAGCTATAAAGATTTAAATTTTATTTTTTATCTTTTTTTTTTTTTGTTAAGTAGACAAAATTCAATTTAACGAGTTGTAAATGTTAATTTTATGCATAACTTTAACAGCAGTTTACAGCATGGGCAGTAGAATGGAAGAATCAGTAGAAGTGTTCTTAGCACTTCAGCACATTAAAATTAAAATCTTAGATTATCAAGAATTTAGCGAAAAGAAGAAAAACTGCATAAAATTTCCTTCGTATAGTTACATATAAATCTATATATTAGTTTGGGGAAGAAGAAATCCATTATTTTTTCGGTAGATGGCTGCACTGATAGATTTCTCGTAAAGTATCGATCAAACAATTTCATATTTATGCTCGTTGGAAAGGTGACATTTCGCAGTAAAAAAAATTCTT